TGCGCGGACTGGCCCCGAGAAGCGCCCCGCACCTGCGCTCCCGGCGGCCCTTGCCGGCCGGGGTCTCTGGGTCCCCCGCTGGGTCCTCACCTCAGAACCCGCTGCCGGCCTAGGCCGTCCTCGGCCCCTGCAGCTGGGCCCTGCCCTCGCCGGACCGCTCGCCATCCCGGTCCCGTTCCCCGCGCCCCGGAGGGGGCTCCCTCTCGCACAGGGCCCGGCAGGGGCGCGGGGTCGTCTCCCCTGACACCGGCAGCTGGCGGGCTTCTGGTCGCCCGAGAGGACGACAGATACCGGCTTCGGGATTCCGGCTGGTGTATTGGTGACCTTGGGCAGGTTCCCCAAGCTCCCCTAGCTTCCGGGTCAAGACTGAGGATAATTAGAATTATCTGACCTCTGGCTTTGAAAATGTCCGACTCTGGAATTTAGGATTTTATGAGAGAGAAAAATGGGGGCTGAGAGGAAGCTAAGTTCTGAGTTGATAGGTAAAAGTCTATATTATGTTTTAACATTTACTAAATGTTTAAAACCGCTCATTAGGCTATCAGGCTCTAAACGCATCTTAATGAGAAATGGTTCGCACTTATGTGTTACTATTTACTTAAGGATGTCTCCTGCTCAGTTCCAAAAAGGTGCGCGGGAACCTTCTGTCTGTGGCTCTCAGGTTCACGTTCCTTCCAGCCAGGGCCGGTGCCTTCGCCTTGTGTGGTTTCATCCTCTCTCCTAGGACCCGCCTGTGGTCCCAGAGCCAAAAATTAGCTTGCAACCCTGTATTGAAAATAACTTTGGTAACTTTTACTTATTATTTTAAAATACCAAATAGATACCCCTCTCCCAACTGAGTTTTATAGTTTGGCCATTCACCAGTTAATTTCAAATTGTGATCTCAGACTTCTTTCTTAAATCTTGTGAGTTTTGCCCTAAAACTGGAATTTGCCCAGGATGGCTCCTAAAGTGTCTCTGCCAAAACTGGTACTTCTCTTGTCCCTTCCCCGTCGTTGTTTTTCTCTTCCATGCCCCTCGTTCCGTGTGTGTGTGTGTGTGTGTGTGTCTGTCTGAGTAGCTAGGAGTTCAGAAACTTTCAATTAGGAAGACATTGCAAGAGCTACTTAGAAGAACTATGAAAGTGAATTAAGTTTGATTCCATGTACCAATAGAATTGTTCCACAGGATTTTCTTGGCTACTATCATTTTTACTTCTAGTTATTAAGAAGTGAGAGGGCAGGATGTGCATTTTTCTCTCTCACAGACTTTTATAAGGCACGTACAAAAGTTGGTCTCATTTCTATAATTCACAACATTATCATGATCTCTGCACTGTCTGGCCAAGAATGGAGAGAGAGGAGGTGACTTGCTCCCTTAACAAAGTTAGTTTTGTGTGTCTCCCAGGTGGTTTGGTTTTTACTGGCCCACCCAGCCGAGGCTGAGAATTCTGTGTCGAGTGGTCAGTAACTGCTGCATGTGGTGTTGAGCTGGCCCATGCACACTGAGATGGACTGGTGTGAACCATAGGGAGCCCCCATAATCCTTCACTGCCCCGCGTCCTGCAGTCTGGTGGCCTCTGGCTGGAGCCTGCTAGAGCTGGAGCTCATGGTTAGAGAATATGAGCATACACCCTGCGTATCCTGTGGTGTGTTGGTCACCATGAACCTGCTGGGTTAAAGCAAAGCTTTTCACAGGAGCACTGTGCTCAGCCCCAAGGAGCTAGTCGGGCTGGAGGCACTTCTGGGAGCTGCTGGGCTTTCAGTGCAGGGCACTGGGGTTTGGGAAACCGTAGACAGACCGTGAATGTGTGTTAAACACACTGCAGAAACTGAAGGGAACAAGGAACGAGAAGGAAGATAATCTAGGTTTTGCAGACGCTGTCCGGCACCTTGCAGCAAACAGGGAAGGAGTGAAGGATGTTAGGCATTCTATTTCTTCTGGTAGATCTCTCTCTCTCTCTCTCTCTCTCACACACACACACAAGCGAGTGCGCAGATAATAACTCACTTAACATATCACTTCACTTTTAGTTTTCCTTCTCAAATGTAGACTAACTACTCAGTTTCCCAAGGAAGTATGGACTTTGTCAAGAGCTGTCATTGGAGGAGACTTTTAACAGTGGTGACGTGAGCCGGTGCTTTGTGGGAGTTAGGAAATGAGCTGTTACCAGCCATGTTCTCCTGCCGCCTCCATACTTTCATACTTTTGCTTGTGCAAAAGCCTACTCTGTTCTCCCTGACTGGCCTGTCTCTCAGGATACCCCCAACAGTCCCTACCTACCAAGACTCTTCCTCCATTCCCACCCCACCCCTCCGTTTGGATTGGGTTCCCTACTGTAATTTACCACCATCGGCTGTGATTATGTGGTGAAGGTGTTGGCTTGGTTAGATTGTGGTTTATTTTGGGGGGAGGTTGGGTTCCTGTGTCCCACCCCTGCCCCAGTTAGGGGAGTAGTTCTAAGATAACATCTGCATATCCCTCTCCAAGACTCTGGGAGGGAGGCTTCTTTACCGTGCTATCCAGGCAATGTGTACCCAAGGCTGAACATGACTTTGCCGCACAACGCAGTGAGTGGGTGTGCTCTGAGGGGTGTGTGCATCTCCCGCGTTTGAGCACGTCAGGAGACGCCCTCTCTGAGCACTGGGTCGGTGCTGGAGAAGTCTGGTGCTTTGTTGAAAGGTCATGCCTCACTCACTCCTCTCTGTTTCTGGATGTGGTTCTGTGTGCAGGTTTATCTGCCGTGGGCCTCTGTTGACACACAACTGCTCATCTGTGAGTTGAGACCCTGACTCCCTTCCCACGGAGTGTTTTGGGGGGAGCAGAAGGAAGAGACGATTCTCTTCAAAGATGAACTCCACCGACCACCTGCAGAACGCTGCCAATGCCACCTCACTGCGTGTGCCGCAGTCGCCGCGAGAGAACAGCACCTCTCTCCGGGGGGACCTGCAGGACCTCATCCACACAGCCACCCTGGTGACCTGCACGCTTCTGCTCGTGGTCATCTTCTGCCTGGGCTCTTACGGCAACTTCATCGTCTTCCTGTCCTTCTTTGATCCCGCTTTTAGGAAATTCAGAACCAACTTTGATTTCATGATCCTGAACCTGTCGTTCTGTGACCTCTTCATTTGTGGTGTGACGGCCCCTATGTTCACCTTTGTGCTGTTCTTCAACTCAGCCAGTCGTCTTCCGGATGCTTTCTGCTTCACCTTCCACCTCACCAGCTCCGGCTTCATCATCATGTCCCTCAAGACAGTGGCTGTGATCGCCCTGCACCGGCTCCGCATGGTGCTGGGGAAGCAGCCCACGCACACCGCCTCCTTTCCCTGCACCTTGCTCCTCACGCTGCTCCTGTGGGTCACCAGCTTTGCCCTGGCCACTCTGGCCACCCTGAAAACCAGCAAGTCCCACCTCTGCCTCCCCATGTGCAGTGTGATTGCGGGAGAAGGGAGGGCCGTTCTGTCTCTCTACGTGGTAGACTTCGCCTTCTGTGTTGCTGTGGTCTCTGTGTCTTACATCATGATCGCTCAGACCCTGCGCAAGAACGCGCAAGTCAGAAAGTGCCCCCCTGTCATCACTGTGGATGCTTCCAGACCACAGCCTTTCATGGGGGCCCCCATGAAGGGAAGGGGCGAGCCCATCCAGCGCACCATGCCAGCTCTGTACAGGAACCAGAATTACAACAAACTGCAGCATGTTCAGACCCATGGCTACACCAGGAGCCCCAACCGGCTGCCAGCTCCCGCTGCCAGCAGGCTCCAGCTGGTGTCAGCCATCAACCTCTCCACTGCCAAGGACTCCAAAGCGGTGGTCACCTGTGTGATCATTGTGCTGTCCGCCCTGGTGTGCTGTCTTCCTCTGGGGATCGCCTTGGTGCAGGTGGTTCTGTCCAGCGATGGGAGCTTCCTCCTGTACCAGTTTGAACTGCTTGGATTTACCCTGATATTTTTCAAGTCAGGACTAAACCCCTTCGTGTATTCTCGGAACAGCGCAGGGCTGAGGCGGAAAGTGTGCTGGTGCCTCCAGTGCACGGGCCTGGGCTTTTTGTGCTGCAAACAGAAGACCCGCCTTCGTGCCGTGGGGAAAGGGAACCTTGAAGTCAACAGAAATAAATCCTCCCATCACGAAACCAACTCTGCGTACATGTTGTCTCCAAAGCCGCAGAAGAAATTCATGGACCAGGCGTGTGGCCCAAGTCGCTCCAAGGAAAGTGTGGGCAGTCCCAGGGTCTCGGCTGGACATCAGCATTACGGTCAGAGCAGTTCCACCCCCATCCACACCCGGATTGAACCGCACTACAGCGTCTACAACAGCAGCCCCTCCCAGGAGGAGAGCATCCCACACAACGTACAGCCAGTCAGCACCTTTGGGCTCGCCCATTCGTACATGGCCATGCATTACCACACTGCCAGTGAGCCAATGCCAGAGTACAACAGCCCTGTGGCCAAGCAGATCCCAGTGCCCTCGGTGTAAAGCCCCGGGCCGAGGGGTCTCCTATCAGACACGGGTGTTTTAACTCTCGTGGGTGGTGAGATAGATCAGAACCTAAAGATGCGGTTCAGTCCATGGTACTTTGATTTCCTTTGGCCTGAAGTATTAACATCTGTTGATTTGCCTTCTAGTTCTTGAGCATTTTAAGATTTGGTGTAACAGTTTGTTACGAAGATTTTTACCCTGACTTGTGTCCTAGTCTTTTGTACTGAATCTTTAAATAGATTTCAGGAATGAGTCTACTACTATGATAAAAGTAGAAACATCAATTGCTTATAATTATTTGAGTCAGTGTTATGGGTCTTCAAGGTTTACATTGACTGGATTTTTGAAGGTGTCATTTTTATAAGTAGATTTCAAATTTTGATTCTCTGAAGTGTTGAAATAGGGAAGAATATGCCTTTTTTGCTAACAGGCTGATTTGAATACATAATATATTGTTCAAGCAGAAAGTCAGAAATATTTTATCTATAACTCTACCGTTCCCCCCAAGTGTGCACAAGTACCGGATATTAAGAACTTTCCTCCCCTTAGAAGGCAGCCAACAAAGAATGTCTTCTAATTTTCTGCCATTTTGTATGACCGGTGGCATCAGGTTGTGTCAGTTGGAGATGGAGTTCTTCAAAGGAGCAATGCCTTGGCTTCTTAAAATGGAATTGTGCCGTCGGATGATCTTGCCCGTGAAGCCCCGTGAGGAGGGCTGCATCTGCAGTTAGAAGCAGCAGAGCATAGGAAAGGAAGCCGGTGCACCCTCAAGGGGACTCCAGCTCATGGCAGCCCGTGCGCAGCAGAGGACGACTGTGCTCCACCAGGTTTTCCGTGGTTGCTTTTTTGGAAGCTGATCACTTCCCAAGCCACCAGCCAGTTAGCAGCTGGGCATATTAATTGTTTACATCACTCAGAAGTGCACCTGTATAGAGCCGTGGTTCTCAACCTTCCTAATGCCATCACCCTTTAATACAGTTCCTCATGTTGTGGTGACCCCCTCCCCCCAACCATAAAATTATTTTCATTGCTACTTCATCACTAAATTTGCTACTTTTATGAATCGGGCGACCCCTGTGAAAGGGTCGCTCGACCCCAAAGGCATTGCGATCCACAGGTTGGGAACCGCTGGTCTAGAGGGATGGTGCTCCTGCGGCCCTCCTTGCAGGGCTGTGTGTGGAAAGCAGTTCAGGATTGCTCTCTACAGGCAGGGGAGGCAACTGGGGGCATTGCCTTATGACTTAAGACTTCCTTCTTTGTGAAAAGGGTCCATGAACAATCTGGCAGAGTATCCAAGTTAACTATTTACAGATAACACCTTATTTTTAGGTCTTTATCCGCATATCACCATGGTAGAAATATTTGTAAGAAGATCTGTTTTCTAACCATGTGTCTTTTGCTTCCAGTATTCCTAAACTGGAAATGGATAATAAGGAAAAAATAGCTTCAGTATTTCTATACCTAAAACTAATTATACACTCTGCGATTCCAAGGATAACAATGGTGAACTCATATTTTTATGTAAAAAAAAAGTTTTTTCACAAAACAGCTAGCCTTTGAACTCAATAGAACTTTGCAACTCTGCTAGTCCCAGTGTGAGCATCAAGATGCAAAGACTGCCTTTCTAAAGCGTTACATTCAAGGAGTATTATTTCTGAGAGGAGGGCACTCTTTTTCCTTTGGGTGAAAGACACTCCATCTGCAGCACCCTCCCCAGGCTGGTCTGGGACTCCGCCATCTGGAGAGGCGTGGCGCAGCTGGGATGGTGTTCTCCCATCGCACAGCTCTGGCTTCCTGTGTCCACCAGCCCTTCTGTCCCTTGTCAGCAAGCAGAGATGTATGTTTGCTTTGTGTTTTAATTCACCCTTTGGGTCTGTCTCTCCTCTTCCTCCCCTTTCCTCTCCCCTCCTTCCTCCTCTTTCTTTTTTCTCCTCTCCCACCCCACGCCCACTTCCCTTCCTGCTTCTTTCCCACCTTTCTTCCTCAGTTTCCTAACTATCCCTTCTTGGATAGTTTTTGGGGATAATTCAGTACTATTTGGGGGAATCATCACTATTTCAGTTGTGTTTTTTAATACAACATTGTGTTCCTTTATCTTAACTCCATTAAGACAGGATATCACGGTACTTCTTTTTAGCCAAGACAGAATGCAGAAGTGTACTAGTCTCTTTCACCATCTTTCAGAGAATTGTGTTCTATTAGGAATAAGATATTTGTCTCAAAACAAAACATTGTTTATTTTAATAAATGGAGCAGCTTTGTAATTAATAACACTAATCAAGGAAACACTTCCACCTTTTTTAGAGTGTTCAAGGCTAAGTAAAAAAGTATTACTAAACAAGTCATAGAAACCTTTATTAAACAATATCAAAATGGAAAGCTGTTGTTTGTCTGCATCGTGTCTGTCGAGGTCCACACGCTTCTGAGGGTGGTGCTTCTCTCTCTGCCCTCCTCTGAAGAAGTACAGCCATCGACACAGCATCAAACCAGCTGTTCGGGCACCCTGGAGGGACACAACAACTGTGTTCCTTCTCATTGTCCTTTTGAGTTTAGGGAAAAGAAGGCTAGGGGGCAAGGCCAGTGCTGTCCTGGCATGATGTCACGAGGCCCAGCGAAACCCTTAGCCAAGCGCTTGCTGCTCTAAATGAGCAGGTGTGTTGCTATGAGGGGTGGGGGGTGGGGCATTACTCCGGGAAAATTTCCTGGCATTTTTCTCACCTATGCAATTTTCACTTTTCTGAAAACTTCTTCATAAGGAGCTCCAAGCTCCTCCATGTTTGGAAGGAGATGCACTAGACGTTAGGTGTTCTTCAAGAAAACCTCTCCATCTGACCCCCTGGGAGTCCAAACAATGGTGGCCACAACCATCTGGGCTGGCCTCTCTCTGGCCTTGAGTCCACCAGGCCTGCAGGTCTCCTTGGGAACCACTATTTGGATCGGACCTTTTTTGGAAGGAAGGAGCTACTGAAGGACTTTAAGACAATTGGGGAACTTGTCTGCAGCTAACACCTGGTGGAAGAGAGGGTTTCGGCAGGCTTATTTGCAATGAATCCTCTTGTGTGAACCAGTCTCCTAGTAGCAATACTTTTTTACTCGCCCTCATCTGTCATTGGTAGCCAGGCTTCTCGTGTGATTAAATAAGGAAATCAAAGCAAAAGCGATTTCTGCTTGTACAATCGAAAAGGTCAGGGTTCTTGTGTGATTTTTGAAGAGTGTCGTCACTAGGATTCAGGCCACCCCATGCATTAGCTCATGGTGCCACCACCTTTGCCCTCCTTGGTGGCTGTCCTCTGTTGCCCCACATAGAACCCTTAGTAAGGTTGATTATCACCTGTACTCATAGAATAATGCTACAAAATAGTTGTAAATTGATCAAATGCCATATTTCTTAGTAAGAATGCTAAAAACAAAATCAAAATTACGAGTGCTAATAAAACAAAATTTTTAGTAAAATATTGCTACAGTGAATCACGTTATCAGATACAATGTTGTTAGTAACTGAGCAGAAGCTTAAGTTGTTTTGCTTCCCCACCCCTCCCCGCCTCCCACTGCTGCCTATTCTTGAGCAAGTTCTTTTTTTCTCAAGCAAGTTCTTGGCAGAGGTTCACTTAAGACCACACAGCTTAAACTACATGTAATAACTCAGTGTCGATGAAAACAGCAGCAACACAGTAAGAGCATGGATGTAGTTTGTGTCCACAAACCAAATGATTCCAAGTGTCGTAATCATGCGGTAATGACAGTCCTGATCAGACGTGTTATGAATTTCAAACATAAACCAACATAGAACTTTAGCCTTGTATGTATGCTGATGCCTGTAAACTGGGCTTACAAAAAATGCTTTTGTTATTATAAGTACATGGGATATTTCCCAGAAAATCTACGTTTCTGCTGAAACACTACACAGACCTTTTTTGGACAGTTTATTGTCATCCCCTCGGAGTGGTCTGCGTTCACCTGGCAATACCACTGACTTTGAGCTTGGATGGACTGAGCATCATGGGGCCCAGCTTTGGGAGATAAATTATAGTGTAAAGCAAGCACGTGTGTATGAGGCCCTCAGTCTTTATGCTCATCAAGAAATCAATGATTTAACCTGCATGAAATTCATAATGGGCATTAGCCCCTCCATGTATCTATATCTGTATATGGATATATAGATATAGGTAGATATGTATAATGTCTCTTCATAAGGGCTAAAATGAGAACTAAATGCAATGAGAACTCAGTTGAATAAGATCAATTAGTAGGGTACATTCATTAGTATTAATTACTGTGATGCAAAGGATGTGATGTATTTTCACACATTTTACAATAATTGTTCTTATGTTAATGGTTAGGCTATATTTGTATTTCTGATGCTTTTAATGTTCTTTTAAAATAATATTTGGAAAATAAAGATTGAAAATCCAAACATATCTGAACATCAGATTTTAACCAGAGGGCTTTCCCATTCAATAATTTTCAAATGATCGTTTCTGTGTTGTGGGTAACGATGGGGTGAATTTCCCAGGGAGAGTTATTGCCCGGAGGAGATTAAATAACTTGTTTGACCGCTGGCTGTCTGGACGTGTTTCAGAAACAGCTGCGGTCATGCACTCGGACTTCCCATCACGGCGACCCACACGTGTCGGAGTAGAACTGGGCCCATTGGGTTTTCAGGGACTCATTTGTTTGGAAGGAGATGCACTAGATATTAGGTTCCCAAACTTACTTGGCCTACCACTCCCTGTTCAGGACCAAGAGTTGCTTGGTGCCCCCTACCAGGGAAACGTGTGTGCACTGCGGCCTGTGGCTGGGACAGCGCCAGCAGGCTGCCGTGACAGCCCCGGAGCTTGGCCTGGGGCCCCGCCCGCCTCTGCGGGAAATCCTGTTGTGGGGACGTTTTTTTCTGAACCTCGGAAATCACAGCAGCACATTAGCTAGCGAACTGAGGTATCTGAAACAGCTTGTTGGCATCTACTTCATATGTCCTACGGTGCAATCGTTCGGTCATATTAAGATATGTGGATTTCAGACCATTTTCTTCTCACACTTGTTGTTAGCCCCCCCCATTTCCGCTCAACCTCCCCTGCCTTGTCCAAGTACTGTGTCCATAATGTATCTATACCGATTAATATGCAGAAAATGATAAAATAAAGCAGTCATATAAAAGCATACAAAACCAACAATAATGACTAGATAAAGCAAAAACCTAAAATTAAAGAGAAAGCAGAAAATATTAAAAACTGAAACAACTTTAAAATGGGTCAAAAGAAATGATATTTTAACCTACCTACATTTTAACCTAACTATATCTGCTATAATCAACTTTAACATGCTCTCGCTCAGATACCACGGCTGTTCAAATCCTTTAACGTTAGTGAGAGAGGGTTCACCAGAGACTTAATCCATGTGTGGGCCCTGCAAATGGATTTGGACTTCCACTCTCACCCACAGCCTTCTGAACAACAGCTCTTCACACCGTAAGCTCTGATACCATTCCCTTCTTCAGATTTAGATTTTATTATTTACAATCCTTGGATCACATAGGCTGGTGTGCTTCTATATGCACTCAGTTGATGCCTCACTTAGATGGCTGCTTGTTTAAGACAAGTCTTTAAAACAGACACTATTCTCTCTAACAGCAGGGCACCATCTGATTTCTTCACTGCACTTAGCTTTACCCCCATCTCTTCTGTGAACTCTTCATGACGGAAAGCATCTAGCAGGACCACATGTATCATAAGAACTAATTTGAACTGGGATTTTTTACTAAACTAGAAAAGTAGTTGCCTTTGTAATATGTATACTCATATTATCATGTATATATATGTGTGTATATATGCAAGGGGAAGCCAGCCCCTAGCACATCATTATGGGTCCGGTAGGCACAATTGTACAGCAATAATAAGTAAAGATTATAGTAAAGTCATAGAGGGCATGAGAGATAGAAGAGAAATATTGAAATAAATGGAGCCAGCCACAATTCATGGTAGCATGCTCACCTCAGCCCCCCTTGG